AGCAGTCTCCAAAACAGAGACATTGAATCCCCAATGTAGAGTGTAATTACTATCCTGTGGGGGATGCAGAGCCGGGTTATCGCCATATAACTCACGTTCCTGAGCATCAAGATCGGAAGCAATGGCCAAGAAATCAGAGTGAGTATATGGTTCCCGACGATAGGCTTGTAGGCAGATGTTAGTAGCAGCGAGGCCACACAGATTTGGTGGAGGCCGGTCAGGCGCGGTCAGGCGGATTTTCTACAGAATCTCCTACATTCCCCTTGCCAAGTTCATCCTCAGATGGTCCCTCGCCATCATCCCTCCCGTTTTGTGTTTGCCGCGTTGCAGAAAGGTCTGCAGTCGAAGAGCGTTGCAGGCGTGGTAAGGATGCTTGGGGCGGCAAAAGACGGGGACGGGATGTTGGGGAGGGCCGTGGTGGGGAGAATGAATGGGTTCTTCTTCGTCCAAGAACAAAGATGGAGGAAAGGGGAGTACGCTGAGGTTGGGAAGTAGGTCGAAGTCGACGTCTAGGACGGCGAAGTGGGCTTTCTGCAGGGGCAGAACATGATGACGGAGTCTGTGTGGACAAAGTGGTTTGTGGATTAGGAAGAGAGTTAACGGATGGAGACAAAACCAGGGGAGGTAGGAGTGGTGAAGACAGGGGTGGTAGAGTAGTCGGAAGGTGGGTAACAGACGGCGGTAAAACCAGGGGAAATAAAAGCGGTGAAGACGGGGGGGATGAAGTCAGGGGTGGTGAAGTGGCTGAAGCAGAGATAGGGGGGGCAGTCGTAGGTGAGACCCGAAGAGGGGACTCTGCAGGTGGTAATGCAGGCATGGCCACGGATGCCATGGAGGAACGCACCGAGACCAAGGGCGACACAACAGATGCGGTGGTCACGGATGCCATGGAGGAACACACCGAGACCAAGGGCGACACAACGGCTGCGGTGGCCACGGATGCCATGGAGGAACACACCGAGACCAAGGGCGACACAACGGCTGCGGTGGCCACGGATGCCATGGCGGAACACACCGAGACCAAAGGCGACACAGCAGCTGCGGGTCGAGTTGCTCCTGCGGAATCAATCGTAGAAGCAACCAAGGCCGATGAGGAAGAGACTGCGAACCGAAAAGGGGCAGCCAGGGTCACAAACGGCATGGAAGGGGTTACTAAGACTGATGAGGACGCAGGTGCGGCAAACACAGGTAATGAAGAAGAGGCTGTGATAGGTGTGACAGGCGCCGATAATGAAGAAGGGGCTGTGACAGGCGTAGTCCGAGGACAGTGTGTAGATACCCGAGAAAGCGGGTGATGAATAGACCATCGAAGCATGCTGCGGAACCAGCTGGAGAGGCGGGTCACATGCGCATGGGTACCTGTGTTGACGTTTACGAATATAGGAAGTCCATCCTTTCGCAAGCGTAGTTGGAGAGTGCCCACAAAAAAGCATGCGGTGTGTGAGCATCGCCGCTGCAGTTTTGAAATCATACCAGTTGTTGCAGACATACTCAAACCTAGTAAGCTGGCCTGTAAACACTCCCGCCGGCTGGTGTGCAGGGACGTTAGATGTAGCACTAGGATAACGAATAACAGGGAAATTCCATCCAGCTGCTTTGTCAAAGACACTCATACGCAGGGAGCCGTCAGGGCGGACTTGGAGGCGTGCACCCAAGAATGTGCAAGAGCCATCAGGCGCTGTGGTCTCCTTCCATTCGAGGCCATAGTGCTCTGACGGTGGTGGCAGATGTCCCCATGAGAAAACATCATCGATCAAGCGGTATGTGAACGCATACCGTTGAGCTGCGTGAAGATCACGCCGCTGGAGGTCATCAACAAATCGAGCCTCATCCCAATACAACGTCAAATTAGCTATCTCCGGACCAGAATTAATCCCCGTCGGGATGCCAATCAACTGATGTTGCAAGGTGTCGTCCGCTGCATAAAGATAAGTGTTTGTGACAATGAAATGGAGATGTTCAAGAATTTGGGAAACGGTCAAGGTGTTTGGTCCGGTATCAACCGTCCACTCCCCTTGACGAGGCCCTTTAACAATCATGTTAAGGGTAGGAGGATGTGTGCGCCCCTATATGTGCTGTTGTAAGGTATATGTATAGGCTTCCTCGACCGCTTTTGAAACATTATGACAAATACGGTCATGAGGAAGATTGGTATACATAGTTGTGAAATCAACAGTGCGAGGAGCATGGTCACGAAGAGAAGAGGAGTTACGTTTGAGATCAAGCATCACCTCCTCGGCGCTATGCACGATCCAGCACCATCTCACACCGCTTTGCTGATACAACACATTATCCTTCTCACGGAGAGTTTCAATGACTCCTTGTAGTGCAACGCTGAGGCGGGCAGAAGTGACGGTAGTACTGGCCAAGGGTTTGTGGGGAGTTCGATGGTGGACTGCATGAACAGATGGCGCAGTTGATCGAGATCGTTGCAGCAAGGAGAGATTATTCCACTCAGTGACGCCGACAATACTGCGAAGCCCAGGGGGCGATTTGTGCGCTTTAAGTGCATAGTACAGATATGGCAGCGTGTCTTTGTGTGTATATCCCCACCGATGATTCCAGAGCACGTGATGTTCCAGAATATYTGCGACAGACTCAAGAGGCACATCATAGGTAGGGCTGTCCAAATGAGCAGACAGATGAGACAGGTACCAATTTTTACAACAGATTGCTAAGTTATGTGAGGTCTTGTCGACAGGAACAATAGCAAAGTGTTGTTGAAGGTGTCTCAAAGCCCTGTGCACTGAGTGAAGAGAGTGCGGTTGTCGTGTAGTAATATGGGGGGATGAGATGTTGCTTTGGCAACGTGTGAGAACAGTTGAGCACCACTGCTGCAATTTGCTCAGAGCGGCCGGCCGAAGTTGCTCGGAGACCGACCTCAGGTATTTAGCAATATACTCGTCAAGGCCGACTCTAACAGCCTGAAGCACATCAGCGATTTATCCATTAAGACGATACTTCGAGCCTTCATGGAACAAGTCGCGGAGGCGATCATCAGGAATGATATCGCAGTCGGCTGTAACAACATGGTCGTCGACTAAGTGTGAGCAGTCAGGAAACACTTTCCGGCATTGACAGTCTGAGGGGTCAGGTAGGGAGATCCCAGGTGTGATGCTGAGCGCAACTTCTGTGAAATTAGAGAATTGGACGTGAGTTGGCGGCAACAACTTATCACAGATACGCAGGTGTGCTGGGGCATCAGGGTCAGGGTGCAAGTGGAGCACCTGGGGTGCATGCAGGGCTTGTCGCAGCCCCGTTACCTGAGACACCTCGTGCATGTGCACAACTTTAATATGATCAAGGAAGGCATCTCGAGACTGAGCTGTGTATCTCCTACCCCTTAAGCGCGGTGGGCCCGGAGGGGAGGTCATGTTCCGCTGCGCGCCGGAATCGGGCCGAACTTTTGATTCGGCCCGGTGGATAAGGGCGATCGAGGGCGCGGCGGTGTGCAGAGCGGTGCGCGTACCGAATTGTTCACAGCGCGCCAGAGATCGAAAAAGCGCGCCCACAGGGCCGCGAGGCGACGGGCGTCGATAGGAGGGAATATCTCGGAGCGCCCGCCGTCGGATAGAGTTTTCTTTTTTTCCTTTTGTTTTTCAGTTGCTTTTCTTTTCTTTTTGTTTCGCTTGCTTTTGTTTTCCTTTTTTCTTTTTGTTTCGCTCGCTTTTGTTTGCACGTTTGCCGCGTCGTTTCTCTTTTTTCTCCTTTTCTCTTTTGTTTTTCGGTCGCTCGCGGCGTCGTTTTCTCCTTTTCTCTTTTGTTTTTTGGTTGCTCGCGGTGTCGTTTTCTTTTCCTTTTTGCTTGCTTTTCTTTTCCTTTTTTCATTTCTTTTTGTTTTGTTTTCTTTTTTTTTTTGCTCCGCGTTGTTTTATTTTCCTTTTTTCATTTCTTTTTGTTTTGTTTTCTTTTATTTTTTGCTCGCTTTTCCGCGTCGTTTTCTTTTCCTTTTTTCATTCCTTCCTTTTTTCATTCCTTCCTTTTTTCATTTGTTTTTGTCTTCTTTGCACGGCGGAAACGAAAAAGAAAAGACAGCCCCCACCCACGCTCGCCCGCCCGCCCGCCCGCCCACACCCACAAACACACACAGACACACACACACTATATATATATATTAGTAAGTATTCGAAGTTCGGTTGCAGTGGTCGCGTGGGGTTTGAACCCACGTACAGATTTTGAAATATTGAATTGCTCATTGAGATAACCATTGAGGCGGACTGGGTCCCTGTATGTTTTAGGGGACTGCTTTCTTTTGAACTGTATCCACATCAGGCTGCTGGCATGTCAGGATGTGCCTGTGTGTCGAAAGCTAAGACCACCAGTCCCCCAGCTGCCGAAACCCCCCAGTCCCTATGAGTTAGGGCCGGGTTCTACGGAGGGGCGGCGACCATTCGTCACCGGCGGGTCCAATCCCGCCATTTGCAAGCGGTAACTTTGACGATTTTTGTAGCTCAGAAGATTTCATCAAATTGTCTGAAAATTTGAGGGT